CAGCTTTCAGTTGTTCACCCATTCTAGAAACTGCCTTTGTTTGAAGAGAAATGCTTCATGCAAGGTCATATTTTCTTCTTGCGGAGAAATGACTCTCAATGACCGATTCATATGTCTATATAAAGATTTTGCAAGCTATTTTCAATTTAAGGAAATTCTTTAGGATCATCCTAGGTCATCAAATCCCCCACAAGATTACCCGAGTCCTTTGTTGCAATTGTTTCTCAGTTCAATTGATCTTTCTGTCTAGATGCTTTGTTCATTCTCCTATGTCTATTAATCCCAAAAGGTCTTGCAAACAAATGCGCATGCAAATATCTGTCTCAGAGTGTAATTCCTGGAAAATTGACCCTATTATACACAACTTGTACCTATTAAGTAAAATATATGCCAGCTGTAATGGTATTAAAGTATGAACATGTTGACTACTCATTTGTCTTTTTCATGTATTTGTTGAAATCCTCTTTAACATCTTCAGTAAGGCTACCGTCTGTCATTCCCTAGATTAGAACCCACCAGAGCAACTAATGACATTCAGAATCTAAGAATTTAAACAGAAGACACATGCAAACTCAATCAGACAAAAATTCAGGATAGAACTGGGGAAATGGGTAGCAGGCTCCTACCTTAGCTGAAGAACTACTGGCAGCTGATTACTGTTGGGTGAAGGAGAGTTGATCTACTTTAAGGGATAGATTCCAGTTAGACTGACTAGACTCCACTGAATGAACTTGCACTGAGGGGCATCTGGGTACACAAACTTGACTCGAAAGTCCTTAATATGTGTGACAGAATGCATAAAATCTGGAGGAGGGAGCTATGGGGGCATGGAGGAAGGAGGGGGAATAAAGACGATTAAGATGCTTTGTATGAAATGCCCAAAAAATGCAATAAAAAGATACATTAAAAGAAGAATGAGGAACCTAGGGGATAAGGAGAAAGAAGAAGCTCAACAGAGGTAGGATCATAGGAGCAAGGGTATTAGTAAGGAAGAAAGGGGGGGGGGATTGGGGGCACCTTAAGTGGGAAAACCATGATAGAGGGGGGAGACGATACAAGAGAGAAACAATGCCTAGATAGTCACGAAAACCAGAGGGAACCATATTATTCCTACAATCTACGGACAATTATACATAACAGACCAAGAAAAATGTCTCTAAATAAGGTTTATCTGAGACCAACTGGTCATTACCCAAGATTTATCTGCAAGACACACAGTAATTAAAAATGCCAGAATGGTGGAACTAACCTTCTTGGATGTTTAACAGACATATCTTGAGATCTATACTAATTGGGTCAGAGGGACACAAAGGACACTTTTTGCTCCTTGCCCTCCTGGGTCGATTAGTTCCCAGGGACT